CTGCCTCCCTGAACAACTGTCTCCTTTGCCATGAGACCAGAAGAACTGGATGGTGCCCAGCTACCATTAGTGAACATTTCGATCAAAGAGTCCGTAGAAGAGCTCTTAACAAAAAGGGGAAAATACAGAACAGAATTTTAGTTTCTAATGGACTCCAGGCTTCCTGGAGCCATGAAGGTTAGAAGAACCCCTGAAATTATTGTCTTGAGATAATCCTTAAAACTTAAACCAAAAATATCCCCTGAAATCTTCTTAAAATCACACAATAGCTTAGCTTACCTAGTAAAAAAGTCTGCTTTTGTAAGAACTATCTATATGGGATCAAATTGACAACAGCAACTCAAAAGATTAGATAGGAACCTTAGGGGGCAGTTGAATTTATGTTAATGGAAGAGAAAAAACTCAGAAAAGGAGGGTGAGAATGGCTACACAGCTTGAAGAATGTAATCAATGTCACTAAATCGTATATCTAGAAACCATTGAATTGGTATATTTTTTGCTATGTATATTCTGAACAACCACAACAAAATAAGTAAAATTATATATATATAAAAATTATGAGTATGGGGGTGATGACCTTAAGCTTTTCACGTGGCAGACTAGAAACCAGAAGTACTCCAGTGAATTTTTCATTTCAGTTATTCAACTCTTTATTTCTAAAATTTCCATTTTTTTCTTTTTTCATGGCTTCCATTTCTCTGCTGAGATTTTTCTTTTGTTCACTTATTAAGAACTTATTTTGCTTCAATTATTTGAACATATTTTTCTTTAGTTCTTTGCACATATTTATAGTTGCTTAAAATATTTGTCTGCTAAATTCAACACCTAGGCCATCTCAGAGTCAGTTTTCACTGGTGGCTTTTTTTCTTGACTATAAGTCACATTTTCCTATTTATTTCCATGTGTAATAATTTTTGTTTGTCTAATCAAAATCAGTAATGATGGTTCCATTGACATATTTTAACTACTGTAACAAAGAATTCTTGTCTTTTTAAGGAATTCTTAAATCACACATGAAGAAAGCAAAAAAGGTCTTTAAAAAGACAAGAAAGAAAGAAAAGACCAAAATGGATGTCAGAAGCGACTCTGAAACTTGCTCTTGAACTTCAATGAAGTAAAAGAGCTAAACAGAAGATTTAAAAAGGTGACTTGAGAAGACAAAATAAAGTATTATAATGAAATGTGCAAAGACCTGGAGTCAGAAAAACAAAAGAGAAAAATATGCCCAACATTTCTCAAGCTGAAAGAATTGAAGAAAAAATTCAAGCTTTAAGTTGCAATATTGATGGATTATATGGGCAAGATACTGAAAGAAGCAGGTAGCATCAAAAGGAGATGGAAGGAATACACAGAGTCATTGTACCAGAAAGAATTGGTCAACGTTCAACCATTTTAGGAGGTAGCAAATGATCAAGAACTGATGGTACTGAAGGAAGAATTCCAAGCTGCAATGAAGGCACTGATGAAAACCAGGCTCCAGGAATTGACCGAACACCAATTGAGAAGTTTCAACAAACGGATGCAATGCTGGAAGTGCTCATTGGTCTATGCAAAGAAATTTGGAAGACAGTTACCTGGCCAATCGACTGGAAGAGATTCATATTTGTGCCCACTTCAAAGAAAGGTGATTCAATAGAATGTGGAAATTATCAAACAATATCATTAATATCACACGCAAGTAAAATTTTGCTGAAGATAATTTGCAAATGGTTGCGATAGTACATCAACAGGAAACTGCCAGAAAGTCAAGCCAGATTCAGTAGGATGTGGAATGAGGGATATCATTTCTGATGTCAGATGGAACTTGGCTGAAAGCAGAGAATACCAGAAAGATATTTACTTGTGTTTTATTGACTATGCAAAGGTATTTGACTGTGTGGATCACAACGAATTATGGATGACATGGAGAAGAATCTGAATTCAGGAACACTTAATTGTGCTCATGAGGAACCTGAACATAGACCAAGAGGCAGTCTTTCAAACAGAACAAGGGGATACTGTGTGGTTTAAAACCAGGAAAGGTGTGGTCAGGGTTGTATCCTTTCACCATACTTATTCAATCAGTATGTTGAGAAAATAATCTGAGAAGCTGAATTATATGAAGAAGAACGGAGCATCAGGATTAGAGGAAGACTCACTAACAACCTGCAATATGCAGATGACACAAACTTGCTTGCTGAAAGCGAAGAAAACTTGAAGCACTTGCTGATAAAGATCTAAGAGTACAGCCTTCAGTATGGATTACACCTCAACGTAAAGAAAGCAAAAATCCTCACAGTTGGACTAATAAGCAACAATACGATAAATGGAGAAAATATTGAAATTGTCAAGGATTTCATTTTACTTGGATCCACAGTCAACACTCATGGAAGCAGCAGTCAAGAAATCAAATAACGCATCGCTTTGAGCAAATCTGCAACAAAAGACCTCTTTAGAATACTGAAAAGCAAAGATGTCACTTTGAGGACTAAGGTGTGCCTGACGCAAGCCATGGTGTTTTCAATCACCTCGTATGCATATTAAAGCTGGACAATGAATCAGGAAGACCAAAGAAGAGTTGATGCCTTTGAATTACGGTGCTGGAGAAGAATATTGAATATTTCATGGACTACCAGAAGAACAAACAAATTTGTCTTGGTAGAAGTACAGCCAGAGTACTCCTTGGAAGTTTCATCTCATGTACTTTGGACATGTTATCAGGAAGGACCAGTCCTTAGAGAAGGACATCTTGTTTGGTAGAGTAGAAGGTCAGTGAAAAAGAGGAAGACCATGGAGGAGATGGATTAACACAGTGGTTGCAACAGTGGGCTCTAATATAGCCATGATTGTGATGATGGCACAGGACCGAGTAGCATTTCATTCTGTTGCATACAGTGTCCCTATGAGTCAGAACTGACTCAACAGCATTTAACTAACTATACCAATGTTAGCCTTAAAAATAAGTGAAAGAAAGACTGCTGGTGAGATTGGTCCCCTCTTACTCCTGGATAAGGAAGCATCAAGGAAATCTAATCCACATTTAGCTGAATTCTCATCCATGATCAGAAAGATAGAATCAGATATGAAAGAGTTGGTCAAGTTTTAGGTTTTACCTTGTAGTTACACTATCACCACAAGGATCTCCAGATGAACCAAAGTAAGCAAAGCTATATATCACCCCTTTTCTGTTCACAAGGAGCCCTGGTGGCACAGCGGTTAAGCACTCACCTGGTAATCAAAGGGTCTAGGTTCGAACTCACCAGCCGCTTCGAGGGAGTAGAGTGGCAGTCTGCTTCTGTAAAGACTACAGCCTTGGAAACCTATGGAGCAGTTCTACTCTGTCCTCTGGGTTGCTATGAATCAAAATTGTCTCACAGCAACAGAATTCTGTTCAGAAAAGAGCCCGGGTTGCACAATGGTTAAGCACTCAACTGCTAACAGAAAGGTCAGTGAACCAACCAGCCCCTCTGTGGGAGAAAATACCTGGTGGTCAGATCCCATAAAGATTACAGCCTAGGAAACCCTATGAGGCAGTTCTACCCTGTCATATAGGGTCACTATGAGTTGGAGTTGACTGAAGAGCACACAGCAACATTCCATTCAGAAGGTCTCTGGGTGGCCCAAATGGTTTGTGCTGGTCTATTAACCTAAAGGTTAGATATTGGAACCCACTCAGCAGCACCATGGAAGAAAGATCCTGCTTTGGTGTAAATTGTTATTAGTTGCTGTCATGTTGCTCCTGACTCATGGCGACCCCATGTGTGAAGAAAGTAGAACTGCTCCATAGGGTTTTCAAGGCTGTGACCTCTCAGAAGCATATCTCCAGGCTTGCCTTCCAAGGCACCTCTGGGTGGGTTCGAGACGCCAATGTTTGAGACGCCAATGTTCGGCTAGTAGTTGAGTGCTTAACCGTTTGTGCCACGCAGGGGCTCCTCCATAAAGATGAAGATCAAGAAAACCCTGTGGAGTACTTCTACTCTGTAACACATGAGACCTTCTTGAATCGTAATTGACTCCACAGCAAGAGGTTTTATTCTGTTCAGAAATGTGTTCGGCATCACTTGAGGAAGTCAAGAGCCAGATTAAGCCACAGGATAAGTATGAGGTTTCCAGAGGCTTCTTCATGCTTTCTGAAAAGCATACTGAATTTCTACATCCTCGAACTGAAAACAACTACAGCATCATAAAATCAGTTCATAAGGAACAAGTATAACCATTTATCTACAAGCATGACGCATATAAATAAAACTGTATTTTCAGGCTTTCATGGTCTGTGAGGGGTAATGAGACCCCTCTCTGGGTCAATGATGAAGAAATGTGTGCTAAGAATCAAAGGAATTGACAGCTTTTTAAAAGTGTGTATGGCTAGTCAATGGCTTCAGTTGAAAGGCAGCATTGTTGATGGTTCACGCTGCGGGTCTTGCAGTCAGGTAGTTTGAGCATGAAGCCTATTTCCACAATCACTAAGTTAGTGACCCTGAGGAAATAACCTAACCTCTCATAGTTTTAACTTCTAAAATATGGATTATTACAACAGCTATCTTAAAGAGTTATTGGAAGGATTAGATAAGGTAATACATGTAAAATGCGCAGTATCATAAATGTTCCATCAAATTTGATAATTGTTACTATCACTATTGCTAATATTCCTTCCTTCCTTTTTTCTTCCTCCTCCTTCTCCCCATCCCCCTTCTCCACTCTCCTTCTTCTCCTTCTACTCTTCTTCTTCTAGTGGTGATTTAGCAGAAGTTGGAGGTTAGATAAAATGGTGAAGGCTCTTGGAAATGTCTTCTTGTATGTTTCTTCCCTCTGAAAATACAAGGGAAACAGGATATCTTCATTCCAGGATCTTGTGGGGGAAAAGAATCACTCAAGATTATGCTTTAGCTAAACCAACAACCTCTTGCTGAAAGTAAAAAGGAGAGTTTAGACCCTTTGGCACCCTAAAGCTTAGGGAACTTTCCTTACTCATATATAAAATTGCCAAGTGTCAGTCTTGCTTTAAGCTCAACTTGTCTCACCTACTTTAAAGCACACCCTTGCATGCTGTTGTGTGTAAATGGAAGCAAGTCTGTGGCCCTCCCAGTCTGAGACCCCAAAGTAAGGGTTGGCTTGGACCCCATCTGCAGGTTTGGGTACAGGCTACAGGTGCCTGCAGAGCACTGTGCACTTGCTGCGCAGAAGTAAGTGGCGGAGTCTCCAGGCTGGGAGGCCGCAATATGCAGAGAGAGGTGTTTGGCACTTTTATTGAGGAAGACTGTGAATCTTCCCTCTTCATTTCCATCCGCACCTGAATGTATAGATATGAGGAGGGCAGGGCCTTTACCAGGGGATTTTTTGTACCACACGAAGTAATCAAACAGATCATTATTGTAATCACAGTTGAAAATGGAAATTTCTCCTTCCTGGGTCTTCCGGGATGGGGGACTTTGCTTAACCTGCTGGTCATCCTTCTTCTTTGGTTGACTATTGGCCCCTGATTGGAAAGAAAGTAACAGATTTAAAATTTTATTCTTCAAGTCCCCACAGAAAACCCACATGGGCCAAAAAACAAAGCACCTCCAACTGTCTCATCTCCCAGCCTTGTAGTGAATCTAGGAGTTTTTCTGCTATATTTGTATTTCCCTTCCACAACTCACAGTCTGACTGAAGCCATAGAATCAACAGTAATGCTCCCAGGAGCTTGTCCATTCTTCCTGTGAAGACTCAGATTGTCTTCTCTCCTTCCCCAGGCAATTGTAAATGTGGCCTTAACTTCCTACACATCATTCACTTCCTTCCACAGGCCCTTCTATTTCACACATGACTAGCTTGTTTGCGAGTGTGTGTGTGTGTGTATGTGTGTGTGAGAAAGTTATTTCTTTTTATGAAAGGAAGCACTGCCCCCTTGGGTACACATGTAGAATATTTCTGAAAATGTATTTCCTAAAGATCAGTTTGTAATGCCTTCCCCATTTAAAAAAAAAAAAAAAAAGTTAGGATATGAGATTATAAGAGATGGAAAAGTTTTCAGAGATCACTTAAATATATATTTTTTGCAATAGCATAGAATGGTAACTGAGAATAAAGAGAATTATATTAGGTCAAATGATGTCAACTGTCAAATGTAGGCAAATATCTTACTTTAAAATATTAAGAAATGATGTTTATTGAGGACACCTGAAGGCTTGTATCTATTTAATACAATGATGACAAATTTCAAACACAGGGAAAGTTTGGTAGCTTTATCTTTAATCTAATTGTATTCTAACACGGTCTTCAGATGTGTCCAAATTTTCCCTGATTAAATAAATGGCACATAATAACTAAATAAGAATTAAATTTTGAGTGCCTCTCTTAAAAATACAAATCAACACAACAAAATTCAACCTCTGTGTTAGATCACCTTCTGAACTGGATTATATCTTGGAACTTGGAGATTACTTAGTGTGTTCTGTACTCTCAAATAAGAAAAAATGTCACAATCTTATAAAATCTATAAACAACGTAAGACTATAACCTTGAAGATGTCAAAAAGGAAGCATATTTGTTTGCCTTTACTCTTAGTCTATATGTACTGTATTTCTCCACAGTTTAATCTGACAGAAAAGGCAAGAAGAATCTATTGCCTTTTTAATGCTAAGTCAGTAGGGCGACTAGGGTTTGCAACTGAGGATGAATTCTAATACAACCATCAAAGTAAGTTTGAGCAAAGACATAGATAACACAAAATAATATCTGATGCATGTATTACTATGGGAAGAAATGTTTTGAAATTTCAATTGCATAATAATGAAACCGGAATTCTGGGGAGTCACAATGCCTCAGTTAAAATTCCACTAAGTCCACACAAACCATCCAATTCAGGAGAAAATTATAAGTTGTCCATATTCCATATCACACTTTAACCTCATCTTTTCAGACTTTCTCGTGATGAAATTTTCACTGATTCATTTATGTATTTATATAGTCAATCAGCATTTATTTAGCTGCTAGGGTGGTTATAAGGCTGCTATGAGTTGGAATCAACTCGATGGCAGCAGATTTGGTTTTTTGTTTTGTTTTGTTTTTAATGAGGTATCTGGCACTGTGCTTGACTTAGAGTTTCAAATATGATTATGGAACAATCCTCATTATTAAATACTCAGTAGTCTGAAGAGAAAGACAAACGAGTAACTACATATTTACAACATTGCATGGCGTATGAGAGGTTTTATGAGGGAAACATAATGGTGATCACTTAGTTCTATTGAGAAGGGTAGCAGTGTGGAGTCAGGAAAGGTCTCACAAAGGCAGAGCTCTTTAAATTGCTTTTAAGAGATGACATTGACTAAGTGGTTATGGCAGAAAGGGCACTCCAGGCAAAGGTATCAGCAATTTCAAAAGCACACAGGCAAGTTATAGCCAGGAGCGCTAAACAAAGGTATGCAGCTTATTATAGTAGAGTTTATTGTTTATGCATAGTAAATTCGGAGCTGATGTTAGGAAGGGCAGCTACATTACATGCAAATCGTGAGGAGCCATGTAGGAGAGACTAAGAAGGCTGACTTTCCAGGTGCAGGGAGACTATTGGACTATTAACACATACACACAAATATGCATGCAAACATACATTGTTTAGGTAAAATTAAATACACAATGCACAAATTTAAGCAAAGACACAAGCAGAATCATTAAATATGGGTGACACTCTCTCTCCATACAGGAAATTGATTTGGTTGGAGAAAGGGATGAGACAAGATTTTTTCACCAAGCTATGTGGGTGATTGTGGCTTATTGACATCTTACAGTTTTAGCTTTGTGATACTTTGAAAAGCAAAAGAAATATCGTGATCCTCATCTGTGAACAGATATAATGGTTAAATGGCAATGTTCCTGCAATGTCTGCTTCCCTTGCAGCTCTTATCACTGTGCCACTCCCAGCAGGGTAATAATACATGACTGAGTCTTCTTTCTCAGCTCACCAATAGTTCACATGGAAGGATGTTTTATCCTGGTCCAGATCAGCTGTGAAACCCTCATGCTGTCTTCTGAAATGTGTCTCAGAAGAAATTGAAGGCCTTGGATGGCATACTAGACATAGTAGTAAAGAGCAGGGACTCCATAGTTTGAGTAATTGAGAAGTTGCACCTACCTGAACTGGAGCCCCATCAGAGGCAGAGACCCGGTACTTGGGCTGAGTGACTGCCTGGATTCTACTCCTCCTGTGATATCCATGCTGGAACAGGGAGACACCCTCATACTAAAGAACATGTGTCAGTGAAGTGACTCTAAATCATATCAGAGAACAATTAAAATGAAATAGAACTGTTTTTTCTTTTTTTCTTCTTTTTTTAACTGAGAATGATGATCACTACAAGAACTGATGATGTTTCAGTTGCCCATAAGCAGGAGGCTCCTTTCTGGAGGTGGGAAGATTCCAAGTGCTTTGAGCCTCCAGAAGAGCAGAGGATCAATTTATTGAATGCTCAGCTCTCCATCAGGGACCATCCTGAATAATGCAAACATTGGCTATCACTGCCCAAAGCATGCTATGAAAAGTCTTGTTGGCACTCTCATTCCTGGAGAAAAAATTACTGTTAAGAGCCAGCACCTCAGCCTTGTTCAGTTTTTGTGACAAGGTCATAAAGAATCACGGGAGATGGGTGACACAGCTGTTTCTGTATGGGAAATTGGCTTGGATGAGAGAGACAATGGGACAAGTTGTTAGAGCATATCCACAGTCATATTTACATAGACAGAGCCAGTTGCTATGTTTAAAGAAGCATCCCTTCCCTAGTAAAGACTCCATACTACCAGGAATTGTAGGACATGGGAGTTTATTCTTTTGACATCTTTACTATAACAAACCAGAATTAGATCAGTATTAAAAAAAAAATCATAAAATTATATTGCAAGTAATCCCTTTACATACCTTCCTGATGAGCATTTTTTTTAATTAAAAGTATGTTATTCCTAGATCCCTATACAGTGATAAATATGTTTCCTTACACACAACATTTCATGGGAACAAAAGCCACATCACTCTTTTTTCTCTACTTTCCCTTTCAACGAATATAGCTATAAATGCCTTCTTTCAAGGTTTACTCTTTTCTGGTTATACTACTTTCTGATAAACAATCAGAATATTTCTTCCAACAGGTATCCACACATATATCTTAAAGACAGCAAAACTTCCCATTCTATCTGCTGGAACCTGCTGAGCTCTTCTGTTTGTACAACAGACTATGACAACCTTCAGTGAGCAATGGCTGCTGTTTTACTTCTGCTTTCCATACCTCACACAAGTTGCTTTTCGACCAATTCTAATATGGTATCATACAAAGAAGGGAGTTATGTGGAACTTGGTTTCCAGCTTAGTGTAGTACAAACCACCATCACCCATGCCTTTCAACTTTGCATTGAATCATACCTCATTTAATCATATTTAACCTCCAAAGAAGACAAATGTAGGCAAATGTATAGAAACCAAAGTTTATGAGTAGTTACGGGGGTGGGAAGGACAGAAAAAGAGGGATTCATTGCTTAGGAGAAGCTGAGCTTCTGTTTAGCATGATGGAAAAATTTGGAAATGGACAGTGCTGATGATTGCACGCCATGATGAATATAATTCATGTTACAGAATTGTACACGTAAAAAATGTCGAAATTGCAAATATTTTGTTTTATAGATAGATACTTCAAAACCAAAAAACAAAACAAAACAAAACTTGTCTTTGAATCAATTCCAACTCATGGTGACCTCATGTGTGTCAGAGTAGAACAGACCTCCATAGTGTTTTCTATGGTTGGTTTTTTGGGAGTAGATCACCAGGCCTTTCTTCCGAGGCACCTGGGTGGATTTTAAATGGCCAACTTTCAGTTAGCAGCTGAGTTTGTTAACTGTTTGCAGCACAATTAAAAGGAAAAAAAAAAAAAAAGTAACTCCAGTATCAGCTACACAGCAAGACCCAGAAAATCTTTTTCTTTTCCTCTTAAGAGAATACTCCCCAAAGAGTCTGTCAGTTTGTCGTACTGTGGGGGCTTGCTTGTTGCTGTGATGCTGGAAGCTATGCCTCCAGAATTCAGATACCAAGAGTGTCACCCATAGCAGACAGGTTTCAGCTGAGCTTCCAGATTAAGAAAGACTAAGAAGAAAGACCCAGCAGTCTACTTCTGAAAAGAATTAGCCAGTGGAAACCTTATGAATAGCAGCGGAACATTGTCTGATATAGTGCTGGAAGATGAGCTCCCCAGATTGGAAGGCACTCAAAAGACAACAGGTGAAGAGCTGCCTCCTCAAAGTAGAGTTGACCTTAATGATGTGGATGGAGTCAAGCTTTCGGGACCTCCATTTGCTGATGTGGCACTACCCAAAATTGGAAGAAACAGCTGCAAACATCCATAAATAATTGGAATGTGGAATGTACGAAGTATGAATCTAGGAAAATTGGAAATTGTCAAAAATGAAATGGAACACATAAACATTGATATCCTACGCATTAGTGAGCTGAAACGGACTGGTATCAGTCATTTTGAATTGGACAACCACATGGTCTACTATGCCAGGAATGACAATTTGAAGAGGAACGGCGTTGCATTCATCTTCAAAAAGAACATTTCAAGATCTATCCTGAAGTACAACGCTGTCAGTGATAGGATAATATCCATACTCCTAAAAAGAAGACCAGTTAATGTGAATATTATTCAAATTTTCGCACCAACCACTAGGGCCAGAGATGAAGACATTAAAGATTTTTACCAACTTTTTCAGTCTGAAATT